ACACAATTGATCTATGTATTGTGATGAATTGTATGAGCCCCAATAAATTGCTTTTAAAAAAAAAATCCCAATCACCAGGTTCAACCGCCACTTAACAATACTTTGATTTCCATGTGCCCACTTCTCAGTATTGTTTTTCTCTCTTCAGTGATAATAAAAAAATCGTTCCAAGAAAAAAAAAAAAAGGAAAAGAGAAAGAGCTCCGCCCAAGTAAGGGCATAGGTACAAAACCAACAGCCAACCTTATTCTCGATGGAGAGAGATCAAAACCTTCTTTTTGAGAAAAGCAGCCATCAAGGGATGCCTTGCATCACTGCTTTTACTCAGTGTTGTTCTGAGCCCTTAAAGAAGTAGCAGCAGTGTTCTTTTTCCGACACGCTGCTGTTCTCACAAGCTCACCGCCCTTGAGTGGATTCCAAGTCACAGCGCCCCTGCCGGACAGAGTGGAACTACCCCTGTGAGTTTCTGGGACCGGGACTTTTACGCAGAGTCAAAAGCCTTGCCTTTGTTTTCCGAAGCTTTTCTTTTTTTTTTTTAAATCAATTTATTGGGGCTCATACAATTCATCACAATACCGTTTCATCTTTCTACCATGCTGCTGCGGGTGGATTTGAACTGCAGCTCAATCCATAACCCACTGCACTCCCACACTTCTCGTTCTACACACAGAGGGGCTTCAAAAATCTGTGGACAGTGTCTTTAAATTCAGTTTTTCCATAAATGTTTTGAAACACGCCCCCGCCCCCCCCGTATACATTTGCACATGTTCATTTATATGTTAGAGCACACAACAGGCGTAATCCTGAAAAGATCTTAGCTGTAGTTACCAGACCCCTCCCTGGATTGGGATCCCAGGCTTGAGGACAAAGTGCCATAGCCTTAAGGTCATCGAGGTCAATTGGAATAATCTAATCATGGGCACAATATGCTAATCCTACTTTGGGGGATGGTAACTGGAGTCTTCAGAACTTGCTAGAAGTCTCCTATGTTACAACTCCTGGTCACTTTCCATCTGCAGCAGAGCAAAGTCAAGAAAACCAGAGACCGGAGGAAACAATTAGTCCAAAGGACTAATGGGATTCATGAACGACAGCCTCTACTAGTCTGAGACCAGAAGAAATGGATGGTGCCCAGTGACTACTACTGACAGCTCTGACACAGATAGCAATAGGAGGTATCAGACAAAGCAGGAGCAGACAGTCGAATGAAATTCAAACGCATGGAAAAGAGTCTGATGTCTACTAGTGGATCCCCAGGACTGTCCTTAGATATCCTGCTAGCTTAGAACGGAAGCCACTTCCAGAAAGACCTTTAGCCACATGAAAGACAGAGCTGTGAGGTGAACAATTTCCTCAGGAAAAAACTTGCTTTTCCGTCTCATCCGCTGTCTGAAACCAAAAGGCATCATTGCTTCAAAGTCAAGTGAAGAAGTCAGGGAGAGGTAGGACAATTGGGCAAAGGGAAAGAGGAGACAGAGTGGGTGCTGCTGTCATAGTGTGAGGGTTGCAACCAAGGTCCCAAATAACTGGTGTGTAGATTGCTGAGTAGGAATCTATTTTGCTCTGCAAACTTGTTCAATCGCAGTAAAGTCATTTTAACCCTCTAGAACATACCCCCCAAACAACAACAACAAACAACAACAACAAACAACAACAAAACTCATTGCCATTGAGTCGATTCCAATTCATAGTGACCCTGTAGGATAGGAGAGAACTACCCCTGTGCGTTTCGGGGACCGTAACCCTTTCTAGGATTCAAAAGCCTCGTCTTTCTCCCACGGAGCAGCTGGTGGTTTTGAACTAACTGCTGGGCTTGTAGTTAGTAACCCACTATAGTTCCTGTAACCTCTATGCCACTAGGGTGCCTTCCAACACATAGGCAATGAGTATCGAAGTGGTTTAAGAAACAAAACTCTTCAGAAAAGTTTTCAGATATGGAGCAAACTAAATTTTGACACATGAAAAAGATTGTAATACATGGCATTTCATTTCCGACTCAGGTGTTATTCATCAAAGTCAGTAAAATGTATTTCCAAGTTAAGAAATAGAAAGAATGTGTGATTTAGAGTCCCCCTCCCTTCTTTGGGACTGTGGCCTAGGAAAGTGGTGTTGATTTGGTTATGGAGAACGGGGGGAAGACTTAGACTTAAGAGGAATCAGCTCTATGATGGTTACGTGCCACTCAGACCAGTTTTGTCGAGGCTACCGTCTTTGTCCTCCTATCAAATTAGTAAACCGACATTTACTGTATAATAGAATTTTTTATAGATGGGGATTATGCCAGCATTAAAATAAAAGGACTGGGGAGAAACTGAATTGAACATGGTGAAAGGTTTTCTTCTTTTTGTAAATTTTTATTGAGGAATAACATGCATACAGAAAAGTATCCAGAAAGGTGTGCATCTTGCTGAATTTTACACTCAGCAGTTTTTTAATACGACAGAAGTATCTTTTTTATTTTATTTTTTAATTATTTTATTTAGGGCTCATACAACTCTTATCACAATCCATACATACATCAATTGTGTAAAGCACACTTGTACATTCATTGCCCTCATCATTCTCAAAATATTTGCTGTCCACTTGAGCCCCTGGTATCAGCTCATCATTTTCCCCCCTTCCTCCCCTTTACCCCTCCGTCATGAACCCTTGATAATTTATGAGTTATTATTTTGTCATATCTTGCACTGTCCAATGTCTTCTTTCACCCACTTTTCTGTCGTCTGTTCCCCAGGGAGGAGGTTATATGTAAATCCGTATAATCAGTTCCCCCTTTCCAACCCACCCTTCCTTCACCCTCCCGGTACCGCCACTCTCACCACTGGTCCTGAAGGGATCATCTGCCCTGGATTCCCTGTGTTTCCAGTTCCTATCTGTACCAAAGTACAACCTCTGGTCTAGCCAGACTTGCAAGGTAGAACTCGGATCATGATAGTGGGTGCAGGGAGGAAACATTTAGGACCTAGAGGGAAGTTGTATGTTTCATCGTTGCTACGTCGCACTCTTACTGGCTCGTCTCCTCCCCAAGACCCTTTGTAAGGGGATGTCCAGTGGCCTACAAATGGGCTTTGGGTCTTCACTCCACACTCACCCCCTCATTCACAATGATAGGTTTTTTGTTCTGATGATGCCTGATCCCTGATCCCTTTGACACCTCATGATCGCACAGGCCAGTGTGATTCTTCCATGTGGGCTTTGTTGCTTCTGAGCTAGATGGCCGCTTGTTCACCTTTAAGCCTTTAAACCCCAGATGCTATATCTTTAGAAAGCTGGGCACCATCAGCTTTCTTCACCACATTTGCTTATGCACCCATTACGACAGAAGTATTTTAAAAGGTGTGTGTCTGTGCCAATTTTACTAAGACTCAGCCGGCTCCTGGGTGGCCCAAGTGATTTTCCTTAGCTTGATAGGCTACTGACCTAAAGGCTGATGGTTTGAAACCTCCCAGAGATGGCTGGTGATCTGCTTCCATCCTTCAAGATTCTAGCCAAAGTACTCGGAGGAGCCGTGCTACTCTGTGACCCGTGGGCTCCCGTGAGTCAGAATTGACTGGACAGGGTCCACGGGCGACCCCTATCTCCAAAATAATTTAAGGAGAGCATTTATTAAGTCTAAAAAGAGACAAAAACAACACGAAGACATAGACTCATCACCTAGAGGAGGGAGACCATTAGCATGAGGTTAAAATGGCGCCCCAGGGTTTGTTGAGAATACAACACTTTAAGAAGGCCCGTGGGAGGGCAAAGGAAGTTGTTGCAAAAGCATGATTGGTGGCAGATCAGGACATCCCAGTTACAGGGGAGCCTAGGGAAGCAGAAACAGGATCGTGGTTGGGACACGTACATTACTAGGGTAGAAGGGCTTCCAAGATGGGTCCAGGGCCCACCAACCAAGGCAGCCAGGATGAGACTGATAGGGTATGACTCCTGACTATTCAATCCCTGGTACCATCCCCAGGATGTGACCTTCGTCATGGACACACCCTAAGACTGTCCCTCCCTGGGCATGCCACTCGCCAGAGCCTTCTGCCTGCATTACCTCCATGGTTAGTGATCAGAAAGAATTCAAGGGAGGCTTCATCTACTTGGGAAACCTCCCCCCAAATGGTTTTTGGGCTGTAAACGGGGATGCTGAGAATTTAAGACAGCAGCAAGAGCTAAAGATAGATGATAGATAGATAGATAGATAGATAGATAGATAGATAGATAGATAGATAGAGATAGAGAGATAGAGGTGCCAAAATAGTATAGGACATGGATTCATGCTTAGGCATGCCTCAATCTAGGGCTCAAAGAACGTGACCAAGATTTGCTTTCTGTCTTTCTCGTATTTGCAAAGGGACTGCCAGCAGCGGCAGGGGGCGACACACTTCTTCATTCCTGTCCAACAGGCAAGATAAAGGTCTCCTGATGTCTCCTGTGGAAAAAAAATCTGTCCATCCTGGGACCAATCATGATGGGTCCAAGTTAACCTATAATGATTTATTTAAATCCCATAGGGCTCATTGGTGGCCTACGTAGATCCTACCTAAGTCGAATGGTTTAGAATAAGAGAACACTGAGTGACCTGGCAGCAAATTATGTGTGTGTGTGTGTGTGTGTGTGTGTGTGTATGTGTGTGCTGTTGACAGGAAAAGCAACCAGCAGTTATTCTCCACAGAGCCAAAGTTAGAACGTTGCAACCATGTTTTATTGCTATTTATCAATTAAGTTAGCCCTATGTCAATCACCAATTCACCGTTTTCATCATATTCAAATATAAAAACGTCCCCTCATCTAGCTCTGTTTTTCCTTCTTAATTCAGATTTTAAAAGCTTTCTGATTCATGGTGAAGAAGTCGCTCCTATTGCAAGTTGAAACTTTCTGGTTCTGTGATTATAAAAGAAATAAGACTGCACCTTATCTGCAGAAGACACAATCTTGATGTCAACTGACTTTATGGTTTTTCAATACAAATGTTCAAATTGTTATAGAGTCCAAAATGTATTTTATTTTGCACAGAAAGACTATAAAAGGGATCTGGAGACTGAAATTAAAGGGAAAGGCATGCAGGTGGGCACAGATACCGTGGATATCCAGAGAGCTAGGAAAGCATCCGAAATGGCCAGCCAGGTAAGAGGGTCAACCTAAAAACCCCTCCCTACCACAGAGTGGATACTGACTACCGGACAGGGGGGATCTGCCTCTGTGATTTTTTTCCAAGATTGTAACTCATCTTTCCCCCATGGAGTGGCTGGTGGTTAGGAACTGCTACTTGCAGTTAGAAGCCCAATTCATAACCACTAATACGGCCCCCCAAATGTAAAACTATCAGAAAACATCAAATCGTATCCAGAAAGAATATAATGATGAGCTCTGTGTGGCTTTGTAGTACAGCAGGGATACCAGTGTTTGGAATGGCTTAGTTACAGGCACGTTAGGGCCGTAGGGTGGCTTTGAGATTCACATATGTTACTCTCTGCCTTGCTATGTAAGGTTAGGGCGGAGCTCTGGGAAGTGTTTTCTGTTTTCTCAGAAAGAATATAAGAAAGACTTGGAAAACGAAATTAAAGGGAGAGGAATGCAAGTGAGCATGGATATCCCGGAGATGCTTCGAGCCAAGAGAGCCGCTGAAATCTACAGCCAGGTGAGTGGCGAGGGAAGGTTCTTCCCACAGGCAGCAGTGTGTGCCCTGCTCGCCAGTCGCCATGTGCTTTGTGTGCCCGCTTGATTTACATCTTTTGCAGCCCTTGCCTTCAAACTCAGTGCGCTCGGTGATAGAGGAATGATTGGCCAACCTTGATTAACCTCACTAATGAAAAGGATGCTTGTTGCCTAAGCAGGGCAGAGGGGATTGCACGACGAAGCCCCTCCCTGAGGGCCCCTCTTTTTGAATTCAAGGACTTTGGACCTTTTGGTTTCAGTGCCATGCCGTTGCATCTAACACTGTTTGCTCATGTGTGCAACAGAAGAGAAGCACATCCGATCTGTCTTTTAAGGAGCCTGCACGGCACAGAGGTCTTGCTCCCGAGGAGAGGCTGGTAGTTTCAAACTGCAGACCTCGTGCTGAGCAGCCCCACCTGTAATCACAGTGCCACCAGGGCTCCTTCTTGAAACCCTGGGGACACATAAATTGGACAAACAGCCATGCGTCAGTGGAGGAATGTTACTGTCTCAAGAACGCGAATCTCCTTTGTTCATTTAGCAAATGCTTCCTGCGCACCCATGTGCAGGCATGATTAGATGGTCTTGCCCATGGGGATCGATTGCCCAATGTAATAATCAAATGATCAGATAAATACAGTATCACAGACCTCGAGAGACACGACCAGAAATGGAAAAGTGTCAAGAGTGAACTATCCGGGGAAGCCTGAGCTATTCCGATTTCCCATTTTCATTTAATGGTGTGTGGGCGTGATGGGTGCGACACAAAGATGTATCTGATAGGAAGGGATTTTAATCCATTTTGGGTATAACAATGGCCACAGCGGATGCAGCAATACAGTGGTGCATTCCAGCCAGAGCAGCAGTGTGCCCAAAGGGGCTGCTTCTTTGACTGTGGAACTAGACAGGCTGGGTTTGTTCCCACCCTGACAGGGACGGTCTAGCGCTTCATCTCCCATCTGTAATAGGAGGATACAGACATTACCTGCCCTGCAGGTGGAATCAATGAGTGGTGTTACAGTCTTCAGTGTTTGATCTTTGCATAGGGTAGGAAACGTAAGGAACTACATATGTGACGTAGTAACTGCTACATACGTCCTGGAAGGAGTCAGGAGGCCACATCGAACAGGGACCGCCCATGAGAGAGGATGATGTCCTCAACTTGGAAAGGACATCGTGGTGTTTGAACATGGAGGAATAGGAACCCTGAGAAACCAGGAGCCCTCTCCTCTGCCCACGCAGAGACAAGCCTGCTCCCTGGACTGTTTGCTTTCTCCCTCACTTCTGACTGCTTTTGCATCAGCAACTGCTTCGCATCATCAACCATTCACAGCCCTGTGGTGTGGTAGGGTTCGAAGAAGCATGTCGTTCTCTGTTTCACTCACACACACACACACCACCACACACACACATACACATACACCACCACATACACATACACACATACCATCACATACACACAAACCACCACATACACATACACACACACCACCACATACACATACACCACCACATATCATACACATACGCCATCACATACACACACACCACCACATACACATACACATACACCACCACATACACATATACATACACATACACACACACCATCACATACACACAAACCACCACATACACATACACACACAGCACCACATATACATACACATACACCACCACATACACATACACATACACCA